TAACTAAATTCTTATTACATCAGGGACGTAGAAGCATAATTTTGATTGGGGGGCTAAAATGATAATTAGAGTGTATTGAGAAAAAAAGAARAAAAGAAAAGAAAGCGCGCGCCTGTTGGTATGCTTCGTGCTATAGCTACCTCTACTAAATTTTCATTATTTTTGATTATAAGAATTTAGCTTTATAATTGAGAGTATATCACAAAAGCATATATATACAAAGCTTTTTTGATACAAACTGCAGCTCGATGATGCTCAGAAGAGGTGAGAATGTAACCAGTAAAAGATTCGCAAGTCCATGAACAGTTATCAAGCGGTTGAACGTGTAAAATAAATCTACCCATAATCCTTGTCGGCCTCAGCTTTATAGCTTTTCAGGCGACTAACGTTATTGAAATAAGTGTATACGGCAACTTTTAAAAACAGACAGACCGACAGACTTTTTTATTCGGTATCGAGTATCAGGATATACATGGACATTTTACCCGAATAAACATTAACGTATGAAGGCTATAATTGTTAATTTATAGTAGTTTTTCTTATGTTATAATAGATTTAACCTATTTAGTACGATTACTATTTATTGCCTACTCTGGGTAAGAAGACCACATACTATATTAATTCTTTATTGTATGTGATCTTTTTATAAAGCAGTTGTGGACATATTTTGCTATATATATACTGCAACTGCTAACATTTTGGGTGGACTCATAAATAGCAGAAACAACTCGTTCTCATTTAACAAAAGAGAATCATTGTTTATGTTATTTATGTCCTTGAAGAATTCTTCCCTTAGATTTGAATATAATGTACAGTGAAGAAGGAAGTGCCTCTCATCTTCTACACTATCTGGGCAATGGACGCGGCATCTCCTTTCTTCTGGATYTTTGTATATTTCCTTGAATGTCCTTCCCTTTTCGATCGATTTCAAGGTCGTGATTACTAATTCTCAATTTGGTTAATTATTTTCTGTGTTCAAAATTCTTAACTTCGATCAAATAATTTTCAAACGAGTAATCTGTTTTTACCAGACGAAATGTCCTTAATTTATTTTTTTGGCCTGGTGGGCCTCTTCTAGTTTTTTCATCGTTGAAGAGTTCCCCTCGCCAGACTTGAATTTCTATATCCGTTAATCTAGTTTTAATTATTTTGAATGGGTTCTGACTTGAACAATGATTGTAGTTTATTTCAAGCCAGATATTCCCTAAGCCGCTTCGGTCTAATAAAGATTTTACTTTATTAGACCAGTTATTGTTGTTTGTTGCTAATGGCTCTCTATATACAATTGCTGACAGTTTTTGGCGGTTCTCAAGTTTTGTTATGTTTTAAATTATTTCTCAGAAACGGAGGGGGGGGGGGGCATTGGGTGTTCAGTTTCCGCCTTAGACAATTTTAAATTTATTGAGCTGAAGAAACTGGCGTATTAAGGTGGGTTTCCTAGAGTTTTCGGTAGTGTCAATCAATAGGACAAAGTAATCTATGGCTAAAGCAGGCTCACACAGTGATACCTAACACGCCAACCATATTAATGTTCACGAGTTTAGGATTCAATATTTATGGAGCTGATCACATGTTAGGCCCTGGCTAAACGAGGAAACATGTTTACTGCGCGCATGTTTCCTCGATGTTTCCCAGTTTAGCCACATGCAAAACATTGCTGCGTGCAACAAATTTTGCTTCCAAGACTCAAAAAATTGTTTTGCTCATGTGCGGCAGAAACATTTCATGTTTCCAAGACGCATGGAAACATTGTTTTCCGATGTTTCCTGACAGTTTTGTCACCTTAGGAAACATTTAGGGAAACATGTTTCCTCGTTTAGCCAGGGCCTTAGGTTATCATGCCAACACTACAACAGCTATAATAAAGGCCATTCTTTTCATTAATTTCGAATGAATGCGAAATATTGTATTATCCGAACAAAGAAAGATCCACAGTACCAAATTTCTAAATATTTTGACAACYGTTTAACCTTTATATGATAAAAAGAATATAGAATTTTGAAGACATTTTACCGTCTAGTTTTTGATTTACTTCAGAAAAGACATTACGCAAGCGAACGATATTTTCGTGACGTCATCAAAATAAAAACTCTTCAAGTTCTGGTTCTGCGCATGCTCGTGCACAACTTGGCGCGCGCGTACACAAACTATATGGAGCCACCTTGTTTTTGCCACCACAATTGTGGCATTGAAAACAATCTTTCGACTGATGTCTCGAAAGACATTTTTACATTACATGTGCAGGGCTGCACGAAGCACGCGATCGTCATTGGCGGCCAAACAAACACTTCGAGTCAAAGATCATTATTCGTTAAACATGCCTTCGGAAAACCTGAACATAATATGCAGTCCTTTGACTAAACGTTGTCGTTGATCGGATCATCCCTACGAGCCTAGACCAAAAAGGATAACAGGTAAATCAACATGAATAATTAATTGTTCTCTATCAGTCGGTGACAATTGTACAATGGAGAGCAAAATGCACATTTGTCTTCGCGTTTTGCGCAAGGATAACAAGAGCCGTTTTACATCGTATTCCATCGAGGATGTCCCAAATATTGACAACGTGCAGGCGCTAAAAGATTATCTGCTTGAGCGCTGTTCAGACGAGTTAAAGGATTCGGAAAATACGAAAAAAGCGACTAAAAATGCTGTTGCTACTCTCCTCGCCTTTTGGTAGAGAAATACAAGACCATATATGAGTTGTATTTGTAATGAAAATGGTCAGTTTTCATGCATTTAGCTTGCTAAATAAAGTTCTTATTTCGTAAACTGACTTCTCAATATTTCTCAATTATTGCTATATAACAAAACACTTAATGTCTGGTCCTTCGGGAAATTAGTTTGCTTTGTTTTCCCTCAAGTCTCGATGCTTCCCTCGGCTTGGCGCCTCGTGAAACATCGAGACTCGAGGGAAAACAAAACTATTAAGCTATTTCCCCCGCGACCAGACATCAAGTGTATAATAGATCTATGTCGGCTAGCTCTTGCTGGTATACCAAACCAAGTTTTATAGTTGTCAAGGAAAGCTTGCTCGTGTAGATTCGACTTAATAGTGATGTAAAGTATAAAATTCTCATTCTGGGAAATAAAAAAACCTTGAAGCCTTGAAACCTTGAAACCTTGTTACTTAATTTTTTCAATTCTAAGAAATAATCTTGAAAATTATTTTAAAATTATTTTTTTTCCATTTCACAAATGCTGTAGTAATCTTAAAGATAATCCTATTCTTAGCGAGAATAAACATGATATATTATAAACTTGTCTTCAAATCTAATTTATCAGTAGTCTATGCCTACAGAGTTACATTTATTTCAGAAATTCCCTCCCCGTCCTTCCCCACCAACTTGTTTTCTTTCCCTTTAACACCACTAGTTAAATATCTCATAAGAAAGAGGGGGCGTGCTGCAGCCACAAACAATAGGGACAGAGTAAAGGAATTTTCTCGGCTTATAATAGGAGATAATCGGAAACAGCGGGGCAAGAGTGGGGACTCTATAGGCAGTCAACATTGGTGGACAAAGGTGGACAACATCTCACAGGGGGAAAGCTAAGCCTCAGCTCACGATGGGCAGGGACTTCTTCAGTGGAAGGCTTGAATGATTACTTTGGAGCCGATTTATGTTATGACTACACCAAGCCTACGCCGCTTTTGTTTGATAACAGTAATTTCACTCCTCCGAGGCTCGAAGAGCTGGATTTGCTAATCACGCTTCCGAAGATCAAAAAAACTGCCTCCGGACCAGGTCTCGGTAAATGGAAAGATTCGCCAAATATACTTTAGAAATAGCATATTTCGTCGTTGTTGGTGGAACATATTTCCTTTTCACAAGAGATTATAGAAAATACTTAGAAATTTTCGCTGTGACATACAATGCATTGCGTGCAGAAATTTCAAATCACCTTTGCTCTATCTATTATTTAGAGAGGTCTTTACCGTTTAACTATACCAGTTTTTTCTATACGAGGAAGAGAGTCAGGGATAGACAGTTTTTGGTCCTAATAAAAGGCTTGTAAAATCGCTGAATTCTCGACTCCCTCTATAAATTTGCATACCGCGAGGAGCGCAATGCATTGTGGATAGGGTGGTATCAAAAACCAAGATGGCAAACAAATGTTTCAATTGCAATTTACCTTCTTCTTCTAACACTTCTTACACTGATCCTAGCTTTCTAAGAGCTCCAGCACGGGTCAGGGAGAGGTGAAAGAACCTTCGTTTTCTCCCAGTAAAAGCAACGATGTGTCATTATCAAATGGATCGAAAGTATTTTCTAATAAGTCAAGAATGTACGGTGGCCCACAAGTCTCACGGCAAAACAAAAACTCACGGCAAAACAAACTAAACTCACGGCAAAACAAACTAAACTCACGGCAAAAGGCAATAAATTCACGGCAAAATAAACTAAACTCACGGCAGAATAAAGAAAGCCACGGCAAAATAAACTAAACTCACGGCAGAATAAAGAAAGCCACGGCAAAATAAACTAAACTCACGGCAGAATAAAGAAAGCAACGGCAGAACAAAGAAAGCCACGGCAGAATACAATAAAGGTTGTGATGGGAACGACCGTGGGTTCCCTGTTGATTTTTTTACCGCGAGCAATTTGTCAGCGGTTTTGATGTTGTAAATACAAATGGCGTCTGGTTAAATACTATTAAATTTACAGTGCAAAGTTTATCAATTTATCATAACCTTTAAAAGACTTTAGACTTCAATATTGACCCTGAAACAATAAGAACGCTTTATAATTATTCCAACAAAAATAAAGTTTCAATGATAAGAACCTAAGCTTGACAAGAAATAATTAAAAATGAATGTNCTAAGTTGATGTGCAACTTTGTACAAAACGCCAAATAAAACATGTCTTTCTGTCTGTCTGCCAATCTAACTCCCACCCCCCCCCCTTCCCCCGGGCATTTGACCATAGTCGAGTTCCGCATAGTGGCCTAACCGACTAAGGTCCGGCCCCGCCACGCTATGCCGGATAAATTTGAATCCACAACTTTCGTCCACACTCTGCCCGGACGACATCGGAACAATTCTTCACCGAAAACTAACGGAACTTTTCGAATACGGTCTCCAGAGTGGAACAATTTGAAAACGGCTAGAACTAGCTAGCTTTTCGTATCGGGAATTTTTCGAATACGATGACGTCATCATTGTCATGCATGGGAACATGGCGGGAAGGCTAAAAATTCACCGCGGTCTCAATTTCAACTTCGATGCGCATGCTCATACTCAATGTACAATGGGCCTTATTCACGCGGCAGCGATGTTGGATTGAACAATAGATTCCACCACGTGTATCCTCAAATTCAAGCGCTTGAGAATTAATTTGTGCTGGGGAAACAAAGGTTTTTATTCTCATGAGAATAAACATTGCCGCCGTGTGATTATATAGGCCCATAAAGCGTTTTTGCCGCCTCTGATATATCGGACTAGTATGGACGCGAAACATTTTTTTCCGTTTTCATGTGTGGACAGAAAATTGTTTTTTCGGTTTCGGTGTGAAAATTGCGGATTCAAATTTATCCGGCATAGTGATATATCCTCACTGCATACTCATTAACTCAGAGCCATAGCTGAGTTATGGGCGAAATCCGACGACTACTGAGGGGATGAGTACGCAATGAGATCAGCTTTAGCGACCGCCACCAGTGGAGCAGGGAGGGGACGCAAAGACCCCCGGCTTTGCCGCTGTTGGACCAACTGTGAAAAACTCCACGCGGGTTTGGAGATGTATAACCGGCGCCCCAAAGGATCTTCGTTAATTAATCATACAGTGAGAATAGATTTCAACTCCTCTTGTCCAATTAGAATCGAGTAATTAATTTTGTTGAGCGTATTATAAAGTGAGAGTTAAAACACGCGCACTACCCTAGTGCAATAGCGTAATCTAAGGTATCAAAGAAACACTTCGAAAAGGAATCTAAAACATTAAAGAAATGAAGAAAAACGTTCATGGCCACCAAATATGACTTTCTTTTACATTTTTGAATTAAAAGCATGGATATCGACTTGTGCTTTTTTTAAAAGCACAGGTATATCGAGCCTGTGTTCATCATTGTAACCACTGACCATAAAAGATTGTATTAGTTATCTGACAACATGAAGATAAAATATTATTTCCATTTCATTGAAAATGTTACGAATTTTGCAATTACGTCCACGTCGAAATGTCGTCCACGTCCATTTACCTTGTACTTTTAATAAGTAGTAAAACCACCAAAAATGGGCTTCCTGTGTTATTGACAGCCCATGTGCGGTTCTTCGTAAACAAATTCTCGACTCCCTCTATAAATTTGCATACCTCGAGGAGCGCAATGCATTGTGGATAGGGTGGTATCAAAAACCAAGATGGTGGACAAATGTTTCAATTGCAATTTACCTTCTTCTTCTAACACTTCTTACACTGATCCTAGCTCTCCTAAGAGCTCCAGCACGGGTCAGGGAGAGGTGAAAGAACCGATGTGTCATTATCAAATGGATCGAAAGTATTTTCTAATAAGTCAAGAATGAGAGGCGGGTACACATGCTGTGTGCCGGGCTGCTATAACAACAACAACAAAAATAAAGACTTGCACTTCTATCGATTTCCTCAAGRAAAAAGTCTAGAAAAACAGCAGCTGAGAAAAAAGTGGATTCACTGGATTAGCAGAAAAAAATTCAAACCCRGCCCTCACCATCGTGTTTGTTCAGCCCATTTTCCTGGTGGCGCGAAAACATACGACAATAACATTCCAACAATTGTACCAAAGAAAATTCGTCCCACSGTCTCTAAATCTCGACCAACAATACGTGCAAGGAATCGTGAAGTCAACAACAACTCAGACACGGATAAATTACAGGTGATTCAAGTTGMCGCTGAAACTACTCTTGAAGTCTTGACTGAAAATCACTTAGAAGATAGTTACAATAACTGCACCTTTGATGAAAATATACATGTAGATTGTGACAAAAAGATAGAAGAATTAGGCTTGCAGCTAAAAGAATTACAAAACGAACTAGTCTCTCTGAAGAAATGTTATGAGAGTCAAATTGAGAATCTTGAAAAAGAGATCGTTAATAAATCATTTACAGTAGAAAGATTTGAAAATGACACACTGCTCTTCAAATTTTACACTGGTCTTCAAGACTACACAGTTTTTAAAAGTATATTTGATTCCTTTGGGCCTGCAGTACATAAACTAATTTATTATGACTCTAATACCAACCCAGAAAGATTAAAAACTCCTGAACAAAACAAAAGAGGGARGCAAAGAACACTTACCCCAGAAAATGAATTCTTCATTGTTCTTGCAAGGCTTAGATGTGGCTTACTTTTGGAGGATTTGGCATGTAGAGTTGGAATTTCACCATCACATGTTTCTAGAGTTTGCATAACTTGGTTTGATTTTCTCCACACGAGATTTCGTAGCTACTCAATATGGCCAACAAGGGAAGTTGTAAACAAGTCAATGCCCCAGTGMTTTAAAGACACTTRCCCTAAAACAAGGGTCATAATAGATTGCACTGAACTGTTTATTGAAATGCCAAGCCCCCTGAGATCACAAAGTCGAACATATTCTTACTACAAACATCATAACACTGCCAAAGGGCTTGTTGGCATTGCTCCATCTGGAATGATTAMATTTGTTTCTGATCTTTACTCTGGGAGAACAAGTGATAAGGAGGCAACTAAAGACTGTGGACTAATTTCTTTACTCGAAAAAAATGATAGTATCATGGTTGACAAAGGATTTGACATCGAGGATATACTACCCGAGGATGTTTTCCTGAATATGCCAGCATTTGTTAAGGAGAATGACCATCTATCACTTGAGGAGGAAACTGAGACAAGAAGGATTGCATCAGTCAGAATACATGTTGAACGGGCAATTCGCAGAATTAAGTGTTTTAGAATTTTGAAAATGGAATTTCCATTGTCAATGGCTGCTGATCTTAATAAGATATGGATAATTTGTTCATACTTATGTAACTTTTTGCCTCCAATTATTGCAGAAGATGAGTAATAATGGGGAGAAAACTTATTTTAACTGTTGATTTTGAAATTTTGCATTATAATGCACTGAAGAAASACTGTAGTATTAACAGTATTAACATTGTTGAAACTTACACATTTATGCTAGGGTTGTTTTATTTCAGTTTACTGTAAACCTCCAAGCTATAAGTATATAAGCCTAGGACTTAATTTCCCAACATGCAATGTTTGGTTTAAAAAAAAAAAGAACAAAGAATCATGTGATAATGAGCTTATATTCTCTGAGAGTCTTATATTTTCARAGGTTTACAGTATTAGATATGATACCATTTAATTTTGTTCCACAAGTAATGATGACATTCTTTTCATGAATTAAATCACAATAATCCCTGACCTAAAGCAAGAGATACTGAGCATAAAAAGATGTTAGTTTTGGGAGCATCTTGGAATTCCACAAATTGATTTCTTTAGGTATACGTTGCACAAATAAATCATTCTTTGTATAAACAACAAAGTCAATCCAGTCCAGTCCTGTAATATTAAGAACACCTTGACATTGATAATAATAAATGTGTGTTTTCTTGAGTCTTGGGCCATCTGGTGTTTTTTTCAGGTAAAATGTTGAGTCTTTGCAGCACTCTTCAATTGTCACCTCTCTTTTTGAAAATGGGCATTTAATGTCAATGGCTCCTATTGGATTGTTTTCACTGCTGTAAATGATACCATCAGGACTAAATGCAAGCCAGGGCCATGATGTGTTAATAACTAATCCATAGTCAGCAACTAAAACATGTTCCCCTTTTTGGGCTTTGTACATTTCTAGGGCAACTGGCTCATTTTCAACTCCCCACTTCAGTGACGGAGGCATCCTGGATGATGCTGTATTTGTTTTCTTAATGCTTGCTACCAGAGWTACAGGTGAAGTASTCTCCCTTCGGTTTATCACCCTTCCAAATGATGAAGAAGTTAATCTTTTTTGTCTCTCTTTGAACCAAGCTTTACTTTGCCGTTGAGATCTGGTTGCTAYCTCAATAGCTATTGCCTCATCTTTGCTGACACCAACTTTTTTAATAATRAGTTCCATTGTCTGAACTGAAAGATTTAGCCCAGTATGACCTGACTGTGGCATATTATCAAATAAGATGTTTCTTCCAAACTTAACACCAGTTTCTACCCGGTCTTCCTGAAATGTACAGCTGGTTCGAAAAAATATATCTGGTTTAAAATCATTRCCAATGAATGTTGCACACAGTAAAGCAGCTTTACCATTTTGTTGTAATGATGTACATAAAGCTTTTATTTCATCTTTTTTGACTTATAGATTAGAAGTACCAAAAAAAAAATACATAGTAAGAACAAAAATCTTTACTTCAAATACAAATGGCCTGAATGAACAAAAAAAACTTCTTTAAATACGGGGGAGGCAACATCCAGGTTTTATTCTTTTTACAGATCAACATGCATAATTCGAATAAGTACAAACACCATATATCCATTACCTTCTTAGCAAATGGTGGTGTAGAACAATAATTTTCTCGTTTTCCTTTTACCAAAGGACGCTTTCTTTTGTTTTCCTTGTCCCTTATATAATCAGCATTCTCAAAAGTTAAGTCTTCGAACTTCACTGCTTTTGTCATGGTTGAACCAGATGTAGATGGAATACTCCATTTCTGGAGTACCTGAGTACAAGTCACATCATCTGGAACTTCTTCCAGTTGGAGATTTTTGTAGTCCAGCAAGGTATACAATAGA